CCAGCCGTATCCTCAATAGTAAAATCCAGCTCCGACACACCAAGACACTCGCAAACACCGTCCTCATTGAGGATTACACCCTCCGTGGCCTCGCGACTCAGCAGGTGCCACAAACGGAGGCGCGTGGCCTCAGCTGTGGCGTACGTGACGCCCAATCTCTCATGCTTGTACGTTGCGTTCGGTGTAAGTGTGTAGTGGCGGTGCTGCAGGGGCATTTGCGCCGCTATAAGCAGCTTTATCGGCGCCTGAACCTTCACATGGGACTCCAGTGACTTTGTTGCTGTTGTGGTAGTGGTTGTTTCTGTCTTCGTTGTCGCTGTCGTCTTCATTGCGAACCCACATGGTACCAGCTCATTACGCATCGCCGTGTAGAACGCACCGGCCTTGTAATTGCCGCGCACCGTCGGCAGCGCCATATAATTCTCGCCGAGAGCGTCCAGTTCATGAAGACGCCGCACACACATCGCGTAGGCGCCAACCGCGACGTACGACACGACGTATCGCGTGAGCCGGCCGTCGACGCGCACCTCCCACAGCGGGACGGGCTCCAGACGCCCCACCACGAAAGCCGACACGGACCGCTCCGCCGAGTAGACGCCAAGCGACGTTGCGATGGAGTTTTGAAGTCCACATGGCACTGGCACGATCGGCACAGTGATGAACGGCCGCCCAGGCGTCGCCGCAATGGCGTTCACGGCAGAGCTAATAGTACCGTCACCGCCGCACACCGCAATCACATCTGCAGTACCCGCATGCATGTTTAAGGCGTGTAGAATGTCCTTCTCCGGCACGCATACGTCGTGATGAGTGATTCCTGCCTTGTCAAGATATTGCTGAAGGGCACTCGCGAAGACCGAAAGGCCTTCCTGCGCCCCGCTGCGAGTATTGATGACCGACAGACAGCGTTTAAACCGGCTCATTCCACATGCAGGTATGTAGGGCCGCGTGAAATTCCCTATACAGCACCTTTCTGATGCCTTTTCCCTCCTACCAACTCTCAACCATGCGCGTTGCCTGTGGGATACGTGACAGAACAAAGGGTCCGAAAGAGCAGCATGGACGTTCATCGCAGAAAAACATGAAATACGCCCACGCACGCAAATATTCACACGAGGACGCATGTAGTTTCAGAACAATGGATGAAGGCATAGTCACATCTTCCCACAAACAAGAAAAAGAGTCATGACAGGGTATGTGTTTCTTTCAGTGGGTAATGAAGTGTCAGCTGAAGGCTGATCGTTGTGTCTTCACACCCTAGAGCGGCGGCGGTGGGTCCCATATGGTGTAATATATTTCCCCCTGACACGCAGAATACCGGCGCTCACAATCCCAACAATCGTAAATCCCGTCAGAAATACGTGAAAAGGCATTGGGTTTTGCTGTGTCGTCCCTTCAGCGCCGCCCGGTGCTTTGCTGTTGCCTGTTGGTGCATTCACCGGCGCGAGACCAGATGGATTGGTAGGGCCGACTTCTTCTCGTTGAAGCGCGTCAGGGTCCCACTCATAACGTTTCTGCAGATACTTTGACACCTCCGCCTCGTCAAACGCACCACCTGGCTTGAGGCAACTGCTGCACATTGCAGAATCAGGAAACTGTCGCTTTGGCACAAAGGGGTCAGCTGCCCCTTTCACCTCTGCAAGGCGCGCGTTGACACTGTTATGGGCACGCCATAGCTGCATGACAGAGTCTCCATCCGGTTCAAAATTAAGCTGCAAGAAATGTCTACGACAATCCTCGCAGGTAAAGAAGAAACGCACATAGTTCCGTATCGTCTCCAGCGTTTTCACCTCAGCGTTCACTGTAAGAGAATGGAAAAGGAGCCACATTGCGCAAGGGAAACCACGGTACTCAACAGAAGAGCCCTTGCAGGTGCGCCATTGCACTTCACGCGGTTTCCCCTCAAATGGTATGTTAGCCGCAATGACAGCCTTCTGCCAGCGTGCCACGGAGAAAGCACCGCCGACCTCCATGCTCCGCACCGCGTCCAGCACCGCACCCGCCTCAAGCCCCGGCAGGGCGTGCTCAACAATGAGCAGAAAGTCCTTCAGCGCGCGCAGACGCTCCGGGGGGTCGAAGCCCATCAGTGCCACTTCATGCAGCAGCGTATAGAAGAAAGCGCCTGCGATATCAGTGGGGTACAGCTTTCTCGTTTCAACAAACGTGTCAGAAGAGGTATGACCAGGATGAATACGCTGATCCTTAATTTTGTAAAGTGTGTAGCGCATGTCCGCGCAACGCTCCATCGCGGCCCCGTCAAAGTGCATCGTCTGCTTTATTAGCCGACGTGTTTCCATCCGCAATTCGGAAAGCACGCTGTCACCGCTGCCCAACAGAAAACGCCGCATGTCATCGTTTGTGCAGGTCACATTAGTTCCAGCCGTGCAATTCGCGGGTAAGAATAGCATGAACATTGGCACCGCATCAATGCCATACGCACGGCACGTCTCCACCTCCGTTGCGCAGTTTAGGGCCGCGGCGGTGACCATACGTAACGGATCTTCCTCATGACACTCCTCCAGCCGTGTGGAGAAGCTGACGTACCTCGGGGCCACCGCTCTGCAGTGGCCACAGCCATCGTTGTAGAACATCACCGACCACGGGCACTTGTGGGCGCTGCGATGCACATTACGCCACAACCCTGCATCGAGCTCAACCACCGTCTTGGCACTCCTAAAAAGGCTGTGTCCCAGCTCCGGAGCAGTCACTTGCGCCTCCGCCGCACCAACCAGCAGCCAGCAAGAGCTCAAGAAGCACAACAGAAGAAGGCACCTCGTATACCCAAAGCCCCACAGCATCCGCCTCGCCCACATCATTAACGCTAAACGACACAAACACAAAGATCACAACAACAAACAATATTCCCACAATAAAACACAAAAAAGGGAGAAAGATACAGCCAACATAGACACAAACGTCAACCATATATACAACAAAGCAAATTCGCATTGCAACACAAACCCACAAAGAAATAAATACACAACAAAGGGAAAGAGGACACGGTGACCATCGCAAAGGCACCATAGCAGTGTTACGTTTGCCGGGCGGCAAAAGACGAAGGAGCTGCACGTCGGGTCGCTACGCAGAGGGTGCCGGCAGGGCGGCAAGGGGAGCACAACATCTGGGACAGCACAGGTGCAGACGCAGTGACAGTGGTAAGCACAGCGCCTGTGTTTTCGCTGTCCGCTAGAATCGCAGAAGTCACGCGAAGAGGCTCAGCACCCCCCACACCACCACGCCGCCCACCTACTACCACAACACGTAAAAACACGAATAGAAAAAAAACGAGAGAACAGAGTGAGGAGAAGCAAAGACTGGAGACAACACGCAGCACAAAAACACAGTCACGCCATCGCATCAGCGCCGCAGCAAATCCAAAATAAAAACACAGTGGCACAGAGGGAATCAAAAAAAGGCAGCCACCCGCTCCCCACACCGCCGCACTCTGGGCATTTCGCACGCCTGGTACGTCTCTGCGGGAGGCTGCAGTCCGTATAGCGAAAACAAAAACAAAACCCGATGGATTTTTTCCAGAATGTCTCCGCATACAGAGAGATGTCATCGTCAACAGAGGCAACGGGTTGCCAGCTGTTGGCAAGACAGCACCCGTGGGGAGACTTTCAGCTGGCACGGCAGTTGGGGAACGACTCAGGCGCCCACCACAGCACAGTGGGTGTGCATGGGCGAAGCCGACTCCCGACACAAAGCCCTCACAGCAGCAAGCATTAGACAAGACAGACAAGCATTACAGGAAAGTTCAAAAAGAAAATGCGCGACAATAACAGCGCAGAGGGGGAAGGAGAAAAAAAAAGTGTATAGGTTATCTTACGTCAGCCACTTAACACTCAAAGCGCCACCACCGCCGAGGCAGCAGCGAAGACGAACAGAAGAGATGCAAAGACGGCAGAAGCAACGCTGCCGTCGGCGTTTCCGCCAACCACAATATTCTTGTCTTGAGGCGTGGCGACGCCGGGGAGACCCACGGGCAGCGGAGACTGGTTCAAATCCTCTTCGGCAGCCACCCCTTCCGTGCCAACGGCTTCGGTGGAGCTCGGTGCAGCAACATCGCTGGTGCTCCCGACCGTGGTGATGGTGCTCGAGTCCTCTTGGTACGTTCCGGTGGCCATATTCACCAGGGTCGCTGAGATGTCCATTTCAGATAGCGACGGTGGCGGGATGGGATCGCGGTGCTTCCCTTCCCGCGGCAGCATGGTGGTGCACACGTCGTCGTACAGAGGGCAGGCAATGCTGCCGCCCGCAGCAAAGTCGCCCCACGTCTTCAGGAAGCGTCCCTGCGGGCACAAGTAATACGTGGGGGCACCAGCGTAGCGGACGTACACGGAGCCGTACTCGCACGCCACCTCCACACATACGTCCCCCACCTTCTGGTCGCCCACCTTTAGGTCGTTCCCCCTCACGCACCGCGACGATGGGCCGACAACGCTCCCCAACATCTTGCTCGCATTGCCGCTCATGCACCCAGTGCCTGCACCGGCCACAATGACGGGGCAGTACTCCATCAGATCGTCCCTCAGGCCGCCCTTCTTGCCACTCTCGCCAAAGTACTGAAACACCTGGGGGGTATCAGCACGGCTCTCTTCAATACCACAATTCCCCAACGCCTGGAAGTCGCTCGTGCACTTCGGGGTGGCGGAGGCCTCCGTGCAGAACATTCCGGGGTAGTCAGTGTGCCCATTATCGACACACTTCTTCTCCAGCAGCGCGCACCCGGACCTGTTGCCCCACCGCATCGGCTCCGCCTTGCTCCAATTGGCGCGATAGTAGCCGAGCTCCACGAACACAGACATCGTTATCGCCGTGTAGTAGCCGGCACCGACATGGCCAGCCATCAGCTCGTCCTTCGCGTTGCGGCGCTTCCAGTGCGAGTTGTAGCCCAACCTCGCAGGCAGATTCCAGTCGTACGCCTCAGCGCGGCCGGCCGCAGCCACTCTGATGTCCTCCTGAGAGTCTGACGAATCGGCCATATCCTCCTCCAAAAAATCGCTGAGTGACACACGGGGCACCTTCGAGCGCATCAAGAGAGATCCTTCCGCAGGACTCGGCGTCCACGTCATCTCGTCCTCCAGCTCCATGCCAATGGTGCTTTCGCAGCTGTAGTGCCGCGCCGCCATAGCACGCGTGTTGTTGGAAGTCAAGAAATACGTTGGCTTGTCGCGCACAGTTCTCCTCTCCACCTTCAGGTTCGCGCTCTTCATGCCTTCCAGGTTGAACCCAAGCGTGTGCGCCATCTCGTGCGCAGCGACGCGTATCGCCTGCGGAGTGGTAGCGATGTGCCGCGGGTTGAAGTTGAGCACGCCAACCAGCGGACGGCCATCAGCATCCACCGCACAAACAGCCGACCACGCAAAGGCGGAAGACAAGGTAGGCGCAGCAGCGACGTACAGCATCATGTCAGTGTCTGGTACGCCTGCCTTCCCCTTGTGCTCCTCGGGCACCGCAAACTGACCGCAAACAGACCTCTCATCGAAGTTTGGCACGACCAAGGGTAAACCCCTGCGTGCCACAAACAGGCGCTCGGAGTGCAACTTGACGGCAGCGGGAAGAATCTTCTCCGTCAGGATCTTCTTCTTCTCCTCAGTGAGAACATCTTCACTCGTGCACTTCCACTCCTGGTCGCCAAAGGTCCTGATTGTTCTGTTCGCCTCAGTGCAGCGCCGGCTGTCCATATCCAGGTCCTTCGTGGACACATTGATGCGGATGGCGCTCCAGCCGTGTGAGGGCAGCTCCGTTACGTTTATCTTCCGTGCATCCCCAACCTCGCGGTCTCCTTCAAGCTCGTCAAGCCGCCCATCCTCGCGCGCGGAGGCCATCAACTGCATCTCAACGGCTTCAGTAGGGTTCGGCACGAAATCGGCAGACCCCACACCAAACAGAACTGGGACATAGTCGAATATGCAGCGGTGGCGTTCTGTTGTGGCGAGGCAGCCGGCGGCGCAGCAGAGGAGCAGCACCGTCAGGCACAGCAGGCGGCGCATTGGTGGTGTTTTACTCGCGGCTTAAAAGCAGGGCTTGCGTATGGATGAGGTAGACACAAAAACGAGAGAAATGGGTGAGTGCCTGTGAGCCGCAGGGCATAGCAGAAATAATAATAATTCCAAAACAAAAAAAGTGGGGCGAAGTCCTGTGGAGCGGTACCGATGCACACAGCCGACAGGAGGCCTGTCACGGCGGGGGGAGGAGCTTAGAGTAAGTTCGATGGGGTACAGCAGCGTCGGCGTTCTTCGCAGAGAAATCGTAGAAGTGTTACGTTTGCCGGGCGGCAGAAGACGAAGGAACGGCACGTCGGGTCGCTACGCAGAGGGTGCCGGCAGGGCGGCAAGGGGAGCAGAACATCTGGGACAGCACAGGTGCAGACGCAGTGACAGTGGTAAGCACAGCGCCTGTGTTTTCGCTGTCCGCATGATACTTCTACCTTGTTTCATTAGAGACGAGCCTGTGAGGCGGAATCCCCTGGCCAACGGTGAGGTCGTTAAATTCGTTGAAGACTTCATTGTTCTAACGTTATGGTGCTAATGATTGGAAGACGTTGAGTGTGCGTAGATGGCTGCATATGTGAGGATGTAGGGCTGCAGCGAGTAGTCATGGAGCCATGAGAGCTACTATTTCGTCTGCATAAAGAGATGTGAAGTAAAGTGTCGGAAGATGCACGTGATTTGTTTGCGCGCATGCAGAGAAGAAAAATACGTGCGATGGACGCTGATATACATTTGGGATGGTTAATTCGTCACGGATGAAAACATTGGTTCCCCTTCTGTACTTTTTGGGGGCTCTTCGTGCACCGCCTTCACGCCGGCTGTTACGCCCCAATATCTGACTCGTCGACGCCCATAGATGTCACATCGGCTGCTAGCTGCTCCAACTCCGCAACCTTCTGCTCCGTGAACGCGTTCACCGTCTCGTCCAACTGCACGTGGAGCTCCCGGGCGGCACCCTCGTCGATGCCAGCCCCCTGCAGCGCTTTGGACGCATTTGTGCGCACGTGTTTTATTTTTTGTCGGAATAGCGAAATTACCTGGTGTATTTCGGCTGCTGCCTTGTCACGGCGGCCTGTCGTTATTGGCGGCATCATGACTCTAATCTTCTGCTGCTCCTTTGTCACCTGCAGCGTCCCATCAAACCGCGTCACACGCTGCAGGATGGGGTTCGCGAAACTTGTGTTGTGGGGCACGATCTCCAGTGTTGAGTTACTCGTCTTGACGACCTGTGCCACCTTGGTGAGGAGAACCTTGTGGCCGCCGCCAACGTCAACCTCCAACAGTTCCAAGCACTTGGCCATGTTTAACACTTTCATCGCGCTCACGTTGGCACGTTCGAAGTGTTGCACGAACACATGCTCAAGCTCATCTGGCACATCCTCGTTAATGACCATTTCTGCGTCCTGCAGCAAGTTCTCCTTTGCTACTTTTTGTTCCCGCGTCTTTCCCATGCGACGCTCCGCCCGCTCGTCAAATGTCAGGCGACGCGACTCGCCACGATCTCCGCGGCGTATGTCTTTGCAGTGTATGTGCGTAGAGGCGATGCAGCGAGTAGCAGCATCAATGCGCGAGGTGGGATGGCGGTGCAGGTGCTGTGGCCATGCCAGACATCTGCTACAGGCAGCAACGGTCGATATGAAGAGAGCGCGCCGCATGATACCTTACCCAGTCATATATCAGACAGGAGAAAAGAAGAAGAGTAAGTTGTTGTTATGTTCACTCAGGTGGTAACTCTCTCTCTCTCTCTCTCTCTCT